AGGGATATGGTTTAATTGTAATATATAGGGCACAGGGATGTCGCCATTTTTATTTAAATATTTGTTTATTTTGGGGGTGGGGTGTGTATATGTAAATCCTGTGTTAAAACTGGCTCCACTTACCTGCGTCGCTTCCTTGCCATTCACAAAGTAAACAAAATATCAGAGATGATTTTAAAATGCTCGACAGTCCTTTCATTATCTCGTTGTCCTTTCCCTGAAATAAATGCCAATAAAAAGTATTTTGATATAGGAAACAAAGATCCATGCTTGCATCACCGTAGCGGGTGACGCATCATCAACTAACACTGTCTTCTAAAACGAAGGTTAAATGTAATAAACAAAGCAACACGGACTTTCAAGCACGTTACAAAAAAGCAATACCTCTATATATTTATAAGAAATTAATTCTATGTACAGCTTTATATAATAAATAAATAAATAAATAAATAAATAAATAAATAAATAAATACATTATTTAATAAATGGCATATGAACAATAATACATATATTGAAAAATCACACTGATGTGTAAACACTTATGAAACAACCACCGACAATGAGAGCAAATAATGATAGTATCTCTGCCAGGATATGTAAGGGCTGGAGAGATCACAGTAAGATTGTCAATATTTGCGTTCCTATTCAAATTCAGTGTACTATAGTAATAAGTGCCGGACCTGGAGATACAAGTATCGTAAAATTTGTACCATTGCTCACCATTGAACATTGCGACGTTATACTTTTTTTAAAATAGCGCATCTAAACCGTTTGGGGCAAAACGGACACCACATTCAGTGCTGTGCTTGACAACCTCTACAAAATGCAACAAACAATAAAGAGATCTCTAGCTTTTGCAGTTCCAGAACTGGAGAGTCTCAGTTTCGGCATCAGTTTCGGCATCTTGCTGTTTCTCTCGTGAAAATGAGAATGACCCCCAAAAAGTTCGGTAAGGATACACTGTACCTCTTCATGGGAAGTGATATGATCAAAATGTCACGTAGTGCTAACAGACAAACTAAAAAAAGAACAGACAGAGACATAACGCTCATTGTAAAAATGCTTTGATTTATAAACCTAGGTTGTACTGGTGTCTCTCCACCCGACAGCTTTGTTTTTTTTTTAAGTCATGTTATTAAGATATGTCACCAGAGAAGACCAACTAAACCGTTGTGTCGCCCTTCTGCCACCACTGACTGTTATTTAGGTTAGTTGTGTGAATAAAGAAAGTGACAAATCGTTACCACGCGGTGTTCTTACGTTTCTAATTATATACACTGTAGGTCTTAAAACGTCATTAAAATATTAGAGAGTACGGGTCAGGTTAACTACTGTGATTCTGACCAAGATAATCGTGATTAAATGCGAATCATATATACATTTTAAGTTTTAGACCGGGTTCCCTTAAACCTATCGTACTAGCAGGATCGAACTTACTTGGAGGGGATTCTCGCTAAATTGCATTCACTTTATGTGGCTTAAGTGTCAGTCACGCCCACTGAAGATTACACGCTTAAACTGAATGCAATTTAGCGAGAATCCCATCGGAGATAGATCGATCCTGCTTGTACGATAGGGTTATGAGAATGGTCCCTTAAAGTCTCTAGTAGAATATGTCGCCTTCTATACAAAGCATTTACACTCACCTGCCTGGGCGCTCTTACTGTATCAAAGACACGATTCAATCCTGATTAATCTACATCAATTCTTTCGGAACATCTTGGCTTTTCTGTTGCTTGCGTGTACTGATTATAGCACATGTACATGTAACAAGTATTATACTAACGCTTTTTTCCTATAGCCAAATTTCTCTCTGATGAATGCCTTTAAAAAGATAAGGAAGATTTGTCAAAGTGCGGTGGAGTCTAGGTGTGTATCACGGAGTTTTGTGAACAAGGAAGTGACCCTTTTTATTTTTTAAACGACGTAGCTCCGTGTACAGAATAAAGTTTATTTTCTTTGCGAAGAGGGGGTGGTTAAACAATACATAACAAAGGGACTGATCCCTCCCTCTGTTGCTGTAGATTATTTCACCATTACCAGTGGCGGATTTAGAGAGGGGGGTCAGTGAGGGTCCTGACCCCCTTTCGATTTCTGGTCCCCTCTTGAAATTAGGATGTTAACTAGCTGAATCATAGTTCTAAACCGCACCAAATGGCACCGTTCTCCCAAACCCCACGCCGAGTGTTTGTTGGGTGAGGGGCTGTAGTGTCGGCTTTGCATCCACGCCCCCCCCCCCCCCCCTTCTTCAAAGAATCCTAGATCCGCCCCTGCATTACTATTGAAGTGATTTCTGAGCTGTGTTCTGATTGAAAACCTTGCTAGCGGCTTAATTAGCTTTTTAACTTGAACTTGTTTTTGATGTAACAGCTATATTTTTTCCACTTTCAGTTCGATCAGGCATTGTTGTTCCTCATCCTTTGTTGCGTTACGCGTCCAGCTACACAATGACTTTTATATTAAATCGTATCTTGAAGACAGTTTTTATATATCGTATCACGTCATACGACATATTCGCAGTATAGGATCATATCCTATTTGCATACATTTAATACTATTTACAGGGTCAAATAAACCGAGGTCACATTGAAACAGAAAGCAATCGTTGGTTAACTTCCAAATTTAGGTTATGCCAGCCGGAACCTAGTTGCCAGTACTCTGTCAAATCGTCAACCAAGAAGGCTGTGGCTACTGTTGGGTGAGTGATAGTTTCAAGGTAAGGAGGGTTCACAGATTATTGGCAATCTGGCAAATTGACTTGAAAAAATTGAATGAAATGCGTGTAAATATATTATAATGTTATAAACATCAAAAGGAGGATGGCCTGAATATGCTGTGATAGAAACATCCTGTATTACATATAGCTCAGTGTTCCATTTTGTTTCCTCACCTCCTCACCGTTATATACCCTGTAAACTCAACAGGCGTTCAATAGGATAATTATAGTACTCTTTTCCAATTAAAATATCGTTCGTACATTTAGATGAGTCCAACGTAAAAGTAAGGAACTTGGTGGGATTTGACATTTTGTTTTACAGATTTGCGGACAACACAAGTGCCGTGTGGATGTTCTGTTCAATAATGAAAAATGGGGACAGGGAGTAAAAGTGCTCATTCGTTAAAAGGGTTGCTAGATATGAATACAAATTATGCTTATTTTATTAGCTGAAGGACAGTTCTAATAGGCAAACCAAAAAAGTTATTTTGCTATCGTGTAACATAGCGATTGCAGTAGGTTAAACTTCACACGAGGTCGGATTTAAGGTAGTGTTGCGTTCTCAATCTTTCGTTCTAAATAGGTCAGAGGCGCAGTTTTGGTTTTATGCTGGGCGCACATATGGCTCCCATTCAGATTTATGCGACGCGGAGATTTGGACTCTTCAGATTTCTGATCTGCGGAGTTTTGAGTGGTATCCAGATCTCCGTCAATGAGAAACGGGGCGGGCTGCATGCCCTTTGCTTCTGTCGCATATACGCCGTATAGAGGAAGCGACATATTTAGGGAAAGTGTACGGGAGCAGGTTGGAAGAGTGGTTGTTTTATAGTTAGTTTTAGAGTTATGTAGTTAGAGATTTACAGCCTTCATGAAGCTTGAATTTGTACAAGAAAATGTTCAGTCGTTAGAAAAAATAGAGAAGACTTACAACTGGTATATGGTGGCAGCATTTCTTTTATTTAAAATAAATATAGAAACACAGCAGTATTTCCAGGAGAAATTACAGCCAAAAAAATATTTAATTAAAAGAAAGGAAATGAATACCAGTTACAATGTTTTGGATCATTTCTAATATCTTGGTCTGTATTGAAAAGACTGGGATTTTGACAGTCTATTTTCCCAAATATGCCTCAGATTTGACCTCAGATGACCTCTGACCTCAATTGTACACAGGCTTTACATTATAGCAAAACTTACTTCACCTATTGCTTGAGAACTAGCCTTCACCTGCATGATGTTTAAATCCACATTTGATCTGATTACCCAGCTGTGCATCTATACCACACTCATGTTAACAAACCTCATTCTAGGGCAGTCGAAGGTACAATGAAGACATTGTCACAACTGTGTGCATTTTTCTGTACGTGCAGTTTGAACTTTGACCTACGTGGAACTGACGCAGGTAATATGTTTCTTACTGTAGTTAAGTCCAATAAAAGCTTGAGGGTAGGTACTAATATGGATCTAAAGGGCTATTTAATTTCAAATAAAATTGTATAGAAATTTTCGAATGTTTTTCTGTGTATGAAACCAAATATTTGAACGTTCTGGAGTAAAGTTTGTGATCTAATTTTGATTTCGTATTTCAGAACTAGAAATAAAAAAGGCATCCATTTATGTAAGAAGTATTTTGATTACTTGATTGTATTACATTTAAGGCTGTGTCGTGCCAAACGTGCCTCATTCAACTCGATCTCCAACTGCTGTCCGTGTAAACAGTCAAGTCACCGTTACCTACACGTGTGTCACACCTTCCTATATTCATATATACGGTTCTCTTACAATCACGTGTACTGACAGAGAGGATGTGTTTGATAAGGAACCACCAGTATGTGGACGTGAGTATTTCTTTTTGTACATTACTTTCTTCGCTAGTTTTATTTCATTTGCTGTTCCACATTTTATATTAATATCGTCAAAAAGAAATATTTCTGTCTTTAAATGAAGCAACACTGGTGTATTCAGTGTTGACAAACAGGTTAGTGTGGATTTTGGTAAGGGTTTGTGGCGACAACATATTTACGTCGATCCGCTCGGCGAACATTTCATGAACAAAAGTAAATCGAGAGGAATTTACATATAGATTTGCTTACGTTCTACTGAGTACAAGTATAGTTTATTACCTTTAATAAAATATCTGCTCGGGAGAGTGCCCATGGGATAATGAATACAAGAACGCGATTACGGCACAGTTGCATTGTACAGTGTACTCTGGCTTCTTTCTCAGTTTGTCGTGTTAGCTCATGTCAGAAGGTGTCTGTGGTGCACACATCGTAATTCCTATTGAATCTTTTTATTACATATTTCTAAGAGGTTTTCTGTTTCAGTGCCAGCGTACGTGTTGTATGTATATGAAAATGTGGGCACAATCGGAGGATCATGGAAGAGCCATAGGCCATTATCTCACTGTTTACAGGCCTGTAACGATGACCCAGCATGTGACGCAGTGGACTGGGATGGAAACTGTTGGTTCCATTATAACTCTACGTCGTGCAGTGGACTTAAATATGGGAATAATGTGCATCAATATCAAATGAAAGAATGCCCTGGTAAGATGTGAAGTTGGAACTGGTTGTTTGTATTTACGTTTGCTCAAGTGCCATTGAATGCTTCATTTTTATAATTTTGTCGATGAACTTAAGTAAAGTGAAGTATAATATCCGAAATGTAACATATCTTGCCCTTAAAAATCAAGTAATTAGCTTCAGTACTTACGCAATCAAAAATAATCTCCAGTTACTTATAAAGAGCGCATTAAGAACAGATGATTTGTGGACTAACTGATCCGATTACTATATATGGCCGATCTCACTTCAAAAGCGATGCCGCTTATTCCCTAGTGGTTTCCCCTCCCCCACACGCCCTGTCACTGCAGGGGCCAAGGTTTCAACCTCAAAACCGAGATTTAATCCGTTTAATGGAGCATGTAGGGGCGGGGAGACAACCAGGGGGTTAGCAGCATCGCTTTTGGTGTCGGCCATATTTAGTCGCTGTATCAGTTAGTCCTCGGATCATCTGTTCTGAATGCACTCCAAGAATCTGGTTGTATCAACAATGTTACATGCTGTATGATTTGTTTCCCATAGGCAATCCTTCCTACAATTGCCCCTGTTCCACGGGAGGAACGTGTGTGAGAACATACACCTCACCGACACAGATTTCTTCAGAGGAGTGTGTGTGTAACCTGGGACGTACTGGTGACCAGTGTTCTGATTGTAATTGTGACGCTGTTTTTCATTGTTATTTTAGTTACGCCTAATGCTTTAAACCGAGATGTTAACGTCGTCTACTCAAAAATATTCACTTAGTTTATTGTATCGGCTTCACCTAAACAATAAAGTGTGTTGCAGTTTTTAAATGTAAAACTAAACAAGAAAAAATACTTTTTACAACTGTTTCAATATTAAGATAGAAAACCGTTTCCAAAGAAATTGCTTTTGCATTTAACACAATCATCTTTTAACAAAATGAAATGATATAAGATGGTGAATATCTTCCAATAATACCAAATTAGCCTTTATTTGTGATAGAAATGGCTAGCATGAGACTATATTAATACACTAACCTAGTATCTCGAGTGGAATGTCCTCACTTACACGCACAGTTTATATGAAATAATCTTTATCTGGTCCATTGAGTAGCCGGAGGGTCAGATGGTCAGATAGATTTTCACCCTACATGCGACTAATGGTATTCCTAGGATACATGCACTATGTTTTATTTTAGACTTGAAATGCACTACCCCGACTTTCCGCAACGCGACACACTCTGGAAGTAACAGATTTGGAAGCACTGTTACCTATACCTGTAACAGTGGGTATCAACTCAGCGATGGTTCTGGTACCAGTTTCACCCTGACTTGCAGTCTTAAAGGAGAGTTTGAAGGGGAGATGAAAACATGTATCAGTAAGTCTAAGCAAAGAAGTCAAAAACTTAGAAGAGACTCAAAATCATAAATGAAATTGTCATTTTAGGAGGGTTGGTGTTCCTTATACCATGATGCTTTCATAATAATTATATGCAAAAGTTTATTTTTATCGTTGTTATTGGACTTTGAATAAGGTTGAAGTGATAGCACAAACTAAGTGTCTTCAGCGGATTATGTGTGTTACCTGGCACATACAGGTGACAAGTGTTCATATTGTCCGATTTATTCTATTTCCAGGAACCTGTGAATTCCTATAACTTAGTGATCACCAGAGACAGGAAACACAGCGTTCCGTTACCTTTGAAGGACAAACTGTCACATATACATGCACTGCAGGCTTCCAATTTAACGACACGTCAACAGTAAAGAACCTTACTTGTCAAGCCGATGGAACATTTGACCAGAGTTTGCCTAGCTGTGTTCCCATAGCATGTGGTTTTCCTTCTAATAGTTTCCATTTGAAATTGGCAGAGGAAGGACCGTATGTCTACAGTCAGAATGCGACGTTTTCTTGCATTCCTGGATATCATTTTGGTGGATATGACGTCAACGCGTCGTTTACGACACAATGTTTTTCGACTGATACTCTGGAACCACCAATACCTGACTGCATCAGAAGACCTTGTGCCTTACCTGATTTAGATGAAAGCGTGACAGCAAACAGAAGTACTGAACTATTCTTTATGGACTTAGTTTTGTTTAGCTGCAGACAGGGGTTGTTTTTTGTAGACGGTGCTGCAAACAAATCCCTGAAGTGCGATGAAACAGGAGGATTTGGACATGATTCTCTCGTTTGTGATGGTACGTTCTTCAAACAATATTCGAAAGTTGTTAACAGTATTGTATGTTCAACACCGTTATGCATGTCTAACTGCTGCATGGTAATGCGTACTGAGTATTCTCGATACATTAAATATATGAAGACGTATGCCCTTTACGTACAATTGGGAATTTTAGCAGTTCTTTTTTATCGCCGTGGTACACTCCTTCCAAGGCCGTTTGGAAATTAACAATGTATGGATCTATCTTCCTATTCAATATTCCTTATTTTTCCTTATTTTTATCATTTTAAATGCACCGGTCTTCATTACAAGATTTGCTCAAATGGAGTAAAGGGTATAAATCTGTTTCATAGATAGTAATTTTACGTGTATTCATGTGAATTTCTTGTGATTAAGGGGGACATGCAAAAATCTTAAGGGAAACGGAAAGTCTTTCTATATCGATTTCTAACATCTATCGTGTTCAAGTAAAGGACTTTTACGCACGATCATCTTGAAAAACAATTTGGGAAAATGCAAAAATTGGGCGTAAAATTTCAGAACTTAATGTTTGAATTATTATGAAACAAAAAATGAAATTAATATGAAGATAAGTAACACATCTTTTTTGTAAAGAAATAAATGGAAATTGTGGGCCACACAATTTTTTAGAAAATAATCATTTTGTATAAATACAACAAAAGCCTTAAACTGTCTTTCATAATGAATGAATTATTAATTCTTTTCAGTCATTCAAAAGAGAGAAGTCACACCAGAAGCACTGACAGGTAATGATAGGAGAACGGCGATAAAGTTATTGGGGCGATATGTGTTCAGTAAAAGAGCAAAGCCGAATGCATGTACTTACATGAATGGAATACAGAACAAATAACTAACTGACATGTAATATTTAATGAAAACAGATTTTTTTATGAATCCATCTGTAATGTTTATTTGGTCTCTGTAATGTTTGTTAGGACAAGTACCTGTGGCTGTAGCCATCAGTGGCTGGATATCTACAGCGGTGGTTCTGATCTTTATGGTAGTCGTTATCGTTGTCATAAAAAGGTCAGTTGGACACAGCAATAGTTTTTTGACAGCTAGGAGTTGCAATTAACCGTGGACTATCTAAAATGGGATTTCAGCGATTTTATTGAAAATATTGCTTGAAATATTAAGGATACTGCATTACACAAATAACAGTGTATATCCAAAATTCTAAAATATAAAGCTTAAGATCAGAGTGCAAGGCATTTTTGTAATAATAAATAAACAGATTATGTTTAATAAAAGATATCTAGAATTTATTCTTAGCTAAGGATGATCTTATTTAAGTATACATGATATTGTTTTTTACAGCTCTTTAACGTTTTTGGGTAATAATTAAGAATTATAATTGTTGAATTTCGTTTGAATTTAGAAGACGGAATCCCACTTCTCAGCCGTTTGCTGATACAGATCACAGCGACACCTCTGGCTTGAACCAAAACAGTTTGAATCCGCCAGGCAGTGCTGCTAGGGATCACGAGTATATGTCACTGGTGGCCAACAATATGGCAACGGATAACAACGTGGCTGAATATGCTAACGTCAATGACAGCGCATATACTGATCTTGGCATGCCAGCAAACGAAAGTAGTCAACGACAACCATCAGTCGCTGATATATATCAGAACTAGGTGTAACTTATTCAAGTTCCAGTGCGGAATGATAAGGGACTAAACTGCGTCAAATCATACTTAATTAACTGTGAAGTTCACGGCATAACACAGAGCTTCCAGAGGGTCCCCGTGGCACAGGAACAAGTGTCATGCACCAGGGCGACCCCGAAGTAGATAGGCCTTATCATGAGCCCACTTGTACAGGTTAGCCCCACCCTAGATTCTGGCCCACTTACGCCACGCTAATCTTACTGTAGAGCGAATTCTCCCTTACACGGACAGTTTAATTTCATCACAAAAACAAAACAAACCGCTAAAAAATTATTATATTATACTAACATATTTTGGCAAATGCGAACCCCGTCATGCGTAAAAGGTACTTAAAACTTACGATTCACAGTCGACCTATTTGCAAAGGCATTTTCATTTGATGTTTTCACCGTTGGAGGACTTTTAACATATTCAAATTCTTTGGGTTTAATCGAGCATGTGCGTTAAAATGTTTCAAATCCTTCAAAGCACACGCATGAAAATCCTAAACTGTTTGAGTGAGTAAAGGAGGTTACAAAAATTTGTTTCAGAGTCACACTTCAAATTGTATCTCATTTGTCTTACACCCCATTTCCATAGATTAGATCGACCTACTTTAGAACGACCTAACTCCCTGGGGGTTCACGCTAAATAGCTGTCAGCCGGGCGGACACGAAAGTTAATTACCCATTTACAGCTTGTAGTAGGCGGGACAGACATTTAAGTCGGATTATCTGAAAGTAATCTAGTGAGACTCCCCGTGGGGATAGATCGATCTAAAATCTATGGGAATAGAGCCTTAGACATGTCTTTTTCCACTAACAGTCGAATTGCACTCATGCAACAAAGAAGTTTCAAGTGTTTTTATTAATTTTTGTTAGACAACATGCCGCTAAATTTTAATTTATTTGTGGAATGTTTCATGTTATTTACATACGTGTTTTGCTTTTAGCTTCCATTGGCATAATATATATCTCCGATTTGTTGTGTAATACTGTGCATCAGTACAAAATATCACAATACTCATTTTCATCTGAGGTAAAGGTAGTAGTGAATTTAGCATAGAGACTAATGTTGTCATTTATACCCGGTCTATTCCACCTATAAGTCACCTACCAAGTATACTTTAATTTTATTAGAAACAATCACTAAATGAGGAAAAATTAAAATATTTGACTACTAATAGGGAATCTATGATCATGTACAATCACCATACAACATGTTTAGGGGTGAAGAAAGTTTCAATAAAGTCATCACAGCTCAGTTTTTATGGCTATCTATTAGTCTAAATCCCTTGAACACCACAAAATTATATTTAAGAGCTTATTTATATACAAAAGTACATAACCATATCTGAACAAGGACGTTTTCAGGTTATTGTCCATTTGTAATTTCGAATTTTAGTGTCCACATACATCATTGTTGATAAAAACGGATTTACGCTGTAAGCAAACTTTGGATACAGAACTAAATAGGTTTACATAAGTTTACCAGAAAGTGCTTCTCAGCTGAACTTTACATTATGAAGAGCATTTTGTATGGTGGAGCAAATCACCATAATAGGCATTTTTGTCCCAACATACTACTAACGCAAGCATTGAGATAAACAGATTTCCAAATATGAAACATAAAGGACCGCAACTGGTCTAAAATGAAATTACACCGACGAATTATAAATGCCGTTTTCAACTGACTCAACATACGCATGGCCCATGTTGTCAACGCCTCCTGTTTCATAAATATCATTTTCAACAAACTCCACGTCATCAGCATCATCAGTACACTGGGCATAGCCTCCATTTTGAAACTGCCCTGCAAGTTCATAGGTGCTACTACAATCCTGTCTTGAAACGGAAGATGCCTCGGCGGAAGGTTTGCTGACATATTCAAATGCATCGTCTGGATAGCTTACAGGGGTATTTTGTTGCTTCTTGCCTTTTTTGGTCTTTTTGGATTTGTCTGGCACGGCATATAGATCCTGTACATCAGAGGCCTGGTTTTCGTTATTAGAATTCTGTCTCATATTATTTGACTGATCGTACCGTTCTGCCATTGGACATTCTTTTTCTAATTCGTAGGGATTTGTGTCAACATAAGTGTTGGATGATGTGTACATCGTTTTGCTGAGCTCTCCGTTGTTTGGAACATTAATATCTTCGTTAGAGTTTGGCATCTGTTTCCTAAAACGAAAACGTTCCGTTTACTAGTCAGTGCGTTAGCAGACAAATGAATTAAATAAAAAAGATGCTGAAAAATCCCCAAGTGAGTAATGTATTGCTCATTAGCTAGTCGGTTAAATAATCAAACTATAAAAGCAAGAATAAAAGTATTTAAACATGTGAACACTGTCCCACATTTCCTAAAAACCGACAATTTAATTCACCGCGATGAAACCACATTTATGAGCAAATTGTATCACATGCACGAAAGTAGATGATAAATGTTATTTGCATATTTGTGTAACGTGAAATACTTCATTTTTACAGAAATCAAATAAAACATCTCATTATAGTTGGTTGCCACTTACCGTCTACGTTTGACGAATACAACAACTATAATAACAAGTAATATCACCACTATCGCTCCAGTAACGCCCACACCAACACTGACACCAATATTAGGGTCTGTGGATGCTGCTTGGGAACCAGCCCCAGGCAACACCGCTGAATGATAAAAATGAAATAGGTTAGCTTTAACAATTTTATATGCTCCACTAGATAGCAAAGTTTCTTTGTAAGTAAATTCAGCCCTAATTTTGCCTGAAAATAGGTTAACCATATTACAATAATTTCCTGACACCTTTACAGTAGCATATAATATTTCATATGTATTCACGACTACTTTTGAAACTTTCGAAAAGGATGCATAAATCAACTCTGCGACCATTTTTAAATACCTTTCCATCTCTGCACACAAAACCTGTATTAAAAGTGCGTAAAGGCCATGAGCAAACAATATTTAAAAGAAAAGTACTAAAGTACTGTACTAGATCATATACCGTTCCCCCAGTTACAGATAATTACAGTGTATTTCAGCTGACGGGATTTGGGCTTAATACTCTGATTCTCAGGGTGCTAGATGTAGTGCTTACTTCACAAATACTCCTTAAAATTCATACCTGTACAACTCAGAGAGTCCACCCCAAATCCACCGGTTTCATCACACGTCAACGTTACACTGGTATTACCATCTGGGAACCTTAATCCTTTCATGCATTTGAATTCAACTGATGTCATAAAGAACAGATTCGTACTATTAGAAGTTGTAACTGTATTGTTTAAATGAGGTAAAGTACACGTTCTTTTTATGCAGTCAGGTATTGGCGGTTCCAGAGTTTCAGTCGCAATGCATTGTGACGTAAATGACGCGTCGACGTCATAATCAGCGAAATGATATCCAGGAATGCAAGAAAAAGTCATATTCTGTTTGTAATTATATGTTCCTTCTACTGCCTTCAACTTGAATTTATTGATAGGAAAGCCACACAATATACGAATGCAGCTAGGTAAACTCTGATCAAATGTTCCATCGGCTTGGCAAGTTAGGTTCTTTACTGCTGACGTATCGTTGAACTGGAAACCAATATCGCATGTATATGTGACAGTTTGTCCCTCATAGGCAACGGAACGCTGTGTTACCTGCCTAAGGTAATCATCTACAGGAAAGTCACAGGTTCCTGGAAGTTGAGTAATTTTTTTCATTATCTACATTTATTCAAGTTTGTAATATTTTATGATGTTGTTATACGACAGGTAAAATGCCGACAAACTGCAATATCTCATCCAATTAGGCCATTTACACTTAACAGTTTAAATACGATCTCCCTTTTAATTCTTTCGTGCATGTATTGGCGCGTCCCTATCATCAAATTTTACAGAAATGAAATAAAACAACTCGATATGGTTTGGTGCCACTTACCGTATATGTTTGATGAAACCATTTTGACAACGAGTAATATCAGCACTGTCGCTCCACTTACCCAATAAAACTAGAATAATTACTGAGGCATAATCCTATCAAGGTTTCACCTGCAGCCGACTGACTATTTCATATATGAATCTCAGTTTGTTCTTATCTTTCTATCTTGATATCATTTTGATATCAGACTTACTGTTGCATATTTTGCTCTCCCCTTCAAACGTTCCCCTAGGACCGCAAGTCAGTGTGAAACTGGAACCAGAACCATCGCTGAGTTGATACCCACTGTTGCAAGTATAACAGTCTGTCCGCAGATCTGGCATATCAATGCGTAGGCGGTGATCATTACAAAAACACCTACGCGCTTGCACAAAATAGTCCGCGACGTGTGTTTCGCGCCATGTTTTCCAAAATCCGAAGTTGTTATATAAATCCATGTAGCTCTGTGAATAACTCATTATTCAGCTTGAAACTTTCAAAAAATAAAATTTAAAACATGATGTAAACGCACAATGTAAAATGAACATTTCAATTTCCACGAAAGCCTTGTATCAGTTGTCTAAAAATAGCACACGCATTTTTCTCAAGAAGATCGTGTAATTTTGTACCCTAAAATGAAATGATTGTAGAAAAAATGGACAAAGCTACTTTATTGATATTACAACGATTTATGCAACTACATGTGCTGGAATTGAGCCAAAAAGAATAAAAAATTTGTACAACCGTCCTTTTTTGTGAAATCCCTATTTTAGTGCGAAGTATGTAGGTCAGTCGAAACTGGGACTGTAACGTTACACTGAGCAAGTGACTCGAAAGCGATTTTCTCGGCAAATCTTGCATTTCCGTTGAAAAAAATTAATGTTCAGCTTTTCAAGTGTAAAATTATAGTATACAGTGTGTCACTGTCATAGTGAGAGTTGTTATGGAAAATAATACGTGAAAAAAACGCCATCGGTGCTGCAGATCTGCCATAACATGGTTTTAGAATGGAAAAAACTCTGACGTTTGCCTTTCAAGTTGCAAAGCTTTGGGTTTGCAGACTAAAAGGTGAGTCTTTTTTGCATTCACTAAGTTTCATATAAGTGCCGAAATGTATAGAAATGATTTTGGAGTAACCTCCCTTCGCATAGTTTAGATGCACTTGTTGACGTTCAGTACCAGTGAAATGTTATATTTTGTTGCAAAATTAAGTTATAGTTGTACTTTGTTTACATACAATGTGTAGGCCTACTAGCACACCTTTATCCGTTCTATTTCCTTTATGGAGTTGGAATCTAGACATTTTCGAAATAGGGAGTGTGTCAATACACACCTGTTAACTAGCACATTGCGCAATCAGCATTACAGGTGTACTAATGGTCTTTCTTGGGCAGGTTTCAAAGTTGTTTTACATTAAGTTTTAATATTGTGCTTTTTAAAACAATTTTCTCAATTTATCTGAAGTTGTTGGTAGTAAAAAAGTCTTCAAATTTAACAAGTTAAAAAATCGTTTGTCAAGGCAGAGCCACACTTTATGACCAATATATGCACACTTTAAATTTATGACCTATGCATTGTGCTTTTTCAGTTAGTGAAATGTTGACAGCATACCTATCCCTGCCTAAGCTATAGCATGAGAATGGACTTGATGGCAAGAAATGATGAAAAGATACCAGTTAGACAAAGCAGAAAGTAATTGTTTATATATATATATATATATATATATATATATATATATATATATAT